GGCAATGAGGCTGTCTTATTTTCTTTTCTTTTTTGTCTTAGTTTCATTATACTAGGAAGGACAACTGATTAGATCAATCACAACACCTTAACCCAAGTAATACAATCAGCAACACCATAGCATCAAGCACATCTTAGAAAATGACAGTTGTGGTAGTTATTAATCTATCACCTTTAACTGTGTGAATTAAATCAAAATCAAGGACGAGCCCAACATATGTTTATAGTGAAGAAACTCTTCAATATACCAACTTTACCCTTCGGAATGGGGAGTTAGGAGTTGGGGAGGGAGGGATAGATAGGTAGAAGGATAGGGAAAGGTTAGCAGTGAGGCCAGACGACACTGAAAGATCACACAAACTCTAAGAAACTGTTGACGACAAGAGGAAAAGACAGAATGAAAGAACAGAGATGAGAAGAGAACAACCTACCAGCAATAGGGAGGCTAGAAACTGTACTTATTTTCCTTTAAAACTAATGATAATCGGGCCAGGGATTCAGATCAGTGGTTCCATCACCTGCCTTGAAAGCTCAAGGTCCCGAGTTTGATCCCTGGTACCAAAACCCCCCAAAAAGCAACAACAAAAAAACTAATGGTAATCGAGAGAAGGAAAAAGAGAAGAAAAATAAAGAAGAAATCCGAATTAGGTCCAGAATAGGAACAAAAATGGAGATGAAGAACAATGTGGGGCAGCGAGAGAATGAGTGAGAGAGAGAGAAAGAAAAGAGAAAAGAAAGAAAAAACCAGAAAAATAGAAATTTGAAAAGAGTAGAAAAAATAAAAATTAAAAATAAGAGAAAAAAAATTTTTGCAAATAACAAAAAATAAAAATGAAGGGCCTCCTTCAGGGTGTGTCTCTGCTGTTACAACAGACAATGTGGGCAGTTGTGTACAGATATACATCAGTGAGTCTCAGCAAGCCAGTAGCAGACTCGTGAGATTCAGGCAGATTTCTGGCTGCAAGTCCCAAGTTGAGCTCCCTGTCCTCTTGCAGGGTTGAACTCTGCAAGGTTCTACTGCAGGTTCCAGGTGCCTTTCCCCTGAAGATAGTCCAAGTTCCGATGGGAGGTGATGATCCCTCCAATTTACTAAGTATGGTGGTCTGGTGTGCCTTTATTGCAGAGATTCTCTTCACTTTTCCAGTAGGCTTCAGTTTTCATTGAGGAGCCTGAGAGAGGCCCTCTTTCTGTTACTCACTTCTGCTCTATCTTCTGGAGGTCAGGACAATGGCCTTTATAACTCCCTGTGCCTCTGTAGTGTGGAATGAGGGAGCTGCACAGCCAGGAGGCCAGAGGAGTGGGGTGGGGTGTCTTGCTGCAGGGGCCCACAAGGCTAAGTGCATTGCCCCTGTGGGCATGGCAAGTGGCGAGGGGTCCTCACCTTCTGGCTGGTCGCCAGTGGGCAGGCATCGCGCGGGTTGGGTGGAGCAGGGTTCCTGGCAGTCTAGTACAAGTTTTTGCTTCTTGTCCTCACAACCTTGTGCTCTGTCTGCCTAGGGTCTTAGTTCCAGAAGGAAAAGTGATTCCACTAGGAGATAAAACAATCTTCATTGAACTAGAAATTTAGACTTCTGCCTGGCCATATTGGACTTCTTCTGAGTCAACAGACAAATAAAGGAGTCCCCGTGCTGGCCAGTGTCACTAATGGGTCAGACCTTTGGACTTGGACTAGAACTATACCATTGGATCTCCTGGGTCTCCAGCTGGCTGACTGTGGCTAGGACTTCTCAGGTTCCGTAATTGCATGAGTCAATTCCTTGTAATAAATATCTTCTGTTTCTCTAGAAAACCCGCACTAAACAGTATATATAAAAACCTCCTTAATTATTTTCAGTGACCAGATTGTGTTTCAAATTATAAATGTGTCATAATTTCATTCTTACTGATCCACAATTAGTCTTTTTCTGGTTTTTCCTAATTCCTCCAATATAGCAATCAATATGTATATGTGTACATGTGCTACTCTGGGAAGATTAAGGACTATGACTTATGAATCTTAAGAGTGACAAATACATGTTTTGTTCTGTATGTGTTTTGTTTTATATCATGTGACTTAAATGAATTTCTCAAAGGAAGGCTCATGTTTATATTCTTCACAATATCACACATCTGTGGTTCCTTAATACATATTTTAAAACAATAGTTTGTAGGGCTAGGGATTTAGCTCAGTGGTTCCGGTGCCTGCCTTGTAAGTGCAGGGTCCTGAGTTCGATCCCCAGTACCAAAAAGAAACAAGAAAAGAAAAGAAAACATAAAACAATACTTTGTAGACTAGATAGTCAATTCATGTAACATAACTATGTAAATACCAATAGGGACAATCTTTTTAAGTGAGTCTCTTCTATTGCATAAACAGAGTAGTACTTTCCTCAGGCCAAAGGATGTTGGCTAATTCTTTATGGGAAGCCACATGAGTCTCCTTGGGCTTCTTGTAACAAACGCCCAGAAGAATTATGATTTTGGAATCATTTCCATTGCAAATCTCCTCTTTCCACACTCCTTTAAAAGGCAGCTGTGATAATTTGGCTTCTAACCCAGGCCTGCTGTACCAACAGTTCTCTACATTTTATTTATATTTCATGTGCAGTATGTTCAAACTCTCACTTTCTCAGGTGGTAGATGCTGGTTTGGACACACTCCAGTAGAATGTGCTTTCCTGTAAAATAATAAAAGTAAAATGCTGAACAAACCACCTTTTTATATCAGACTTGAACCTAGTATACCAAAGCTAAGTACTCTATGACTTGACCATTTCCCCAAATTTGCTATCCTCCAAATTCCTTCAACTCCCTCCACTCTAATACTTTGTCCTTAGCTGGTTGTGGTGGTGCACACCTCTAACTGGGAAGCTGAGGCAGAAGGATCCTGAGTTTGAGATCAGCCTGAGACGCATAGCAAGTTCAAGGCCAGCCTGGACTACATAGCAAGACCCTGGCTCAAAAACAAGACAAAAATACTTTGTTATTTGGCTTCCATAAGATGTAAATGCTGACAGTCCTTTTAGATTTCTTTAGTGTTGATTTGAAAGTGGCAGAGTGTAGGAATTTGTCCATCTAACTTGCTTTCAATCATACCTAACCCACACTCACCCAGGGGTATTTCAAATATGATCTGGATGAGAAGATAATACATCTTAACCCATTTAGAGGATTTAAAAAGCTACCTAAAAACTTAATAGGCTTAAAATGTTCGCACTAAAAAGTGATGCTTCTCTGTGTTTTATAGTATTTTCTCTGCAGTGGCCAGAATTTTAAACATGACACTCTCCTAAGAATTAACATGAAATTCTCCATAGGATTCTTGCCCGCTTAAAGACAGCCTGCAATCTAGTGATCCTATGTGTGAAGTGAGCAATATTAGGTGATTACTAAGAATATATATACAGTATATTTGTAGAGTTTTCCAGTCCACTTTTGGCCTCCATCTCCACCTCTTTCACCTGTTTGTGGTAACATTTCACTGAGCTGAAAACCTGCACAATTTCTTTTTTTTTTTGGTACTGGGGATCGAACTCAGGTCCTTGTGCTTGCGCAGCAGGCGGCGAAACCACTGAGCTAAATCCCTGGCCCACCTGCACAGTTTCTTGTTCTACTCTATACTTGATCTTAGCCAAAAGGCTGAGAAGCGATTCTTGTTCTACTCTAGACAAATTGACAACCTTAGGGCATGGAAATTTATACTTGTGTCAAAAGCTTCCAGTTTGCAGTTATGTTCTGAGGCTTAACTGGTCTCTGTGTGCATGTCTCTTTTCACACCTTGGACTCTAGGTAGACTTTTTTCTTTTTCATTCTTCCCATTAGATGGCAGTAGATGCCCAAGAATAACTTCCAAAGCAGTGGAGAAGGGTTGAGGGTGAGTGTGTGTGTGTGTTTTTTGTCACTAGTAGCTAAGCTGACACACACAGAGGTCTTGGGCGGGGGGGGGGGGGTTGAGAAAGGGTCTTGCTTTGTAGTTCAGGCTGGCCTTGAACTCATTAGTAGCCCCGACTGGCCCCAGATCCTCCTGCTTCAGCTTTCCGAGTGCTGCTCCACCACACCTGGCTCAACACAGAGGTCTCCTTTGATAGTGGGCATGCTGTACATTTTTGTTAAGTGTGTGAGTAGAGATGGCGAGGACGTAGGAAGACTTGCTACAGATCATGCCTATTCAATAGAGGTTATCCCAATGCACCTGGAACATCTTGCCAGCTGGTAAAAAAAAAAAAAGTCCTAGAAAATTTCTGCTAGCAGTACATTTGATACAGGCTATGGAGCCAAGTCAAGATAGAAGATACCACTGCTTTACAGCTGCAGCAAGCATCTACTGCATACGTTTGTGGAGATGGAAGACAGCTATTCGCTGATGGGGAATGCTTGCAACGACCTGTGGATTGAAATCCTACACAGCGACCCACAAGTGTATCGCCCCATCAGAAACTACAAGAAAAAGAGGTGGTGTCCTCCAGCCCACTCATAATAGAAAGCACAAAACTGCACACAGAGAAATAACTGCTGATCAAGACCTAGTCTGATAACCTGATTACAATGGTGATGACACTAAATCTTATGAATTTTAAGAGGTCAGAGGTCAGATCTAGTCCCCTACCCATAATACCCAAACCAGTGGCGTCCCAAGTGGTTTAAAGATTACGCTCTGTTTGAAGAGAGTGTGGAGAAGGAACAAGAACGGGTACAAAATTTGGGGGGCTGGAGGGTGAGAGCTTTGGAGAAGTCTGGAGAGAATTTAGGATTGGAGAAGAGAGAGGAAATGGGGGCAGTCGTGTGGCTCTCAGCACGGCCCGCACCCTCCGAAAGCGCTGGCTCAGCGGACCCCTCTGCCTAACGCTTAGAACCCGGGCAGCTGGTCACTGCAGGGATTTCGGGTCAGGTTTCTCACCCTGGGCACGCACCGTAAGCCTGAGCCCCGGCGCACATCGCGAGGACTCGCCTGGGCGGACCCTGCCCGGGCCAGGAGCCACGGGGGGCCACGGGGGCGGGGCAGGGCGGGAGGAGGGCGGGGCCGAGCGGGCGGGCTTTGCTCTCGCACGCACCCCGCTGCTGCCGTCGCCGCCGCTGCTTCCTCCCGCCGCGCTGACCCAGGGAACCGGGTAGCAGCCGCCTGCCTGCCCGCCCGCCCGCGTGCCGGGGCTGCGGTGGGCCAGGATGTCGGGCTTCCTGGAGGAGCTGCTGGGAGAGAAGCTAGTGACGGGCAGCGGTGAAGAAGTGGACGTGCACTCGCTGGGCGCCCGCGGCATCTCGCTGCTCGGGCTCTACTTCGGCTGCAGCCTGAGCGCCCCCTGCGCGCAGCTCAGCGCCAGCCTGGCCGCCTTTTACAGCCGCCTGCGGGGGGACACGGCGGCCGGGCCCGGGGCCGGGGCTGGGCCGGGGCCGGGGGCCGGGGCTGCCGCGGAGCCTGACCCACGGCGTCGCCTGGAGATCGTCTTCGTGTCCTCGGACCAGGACCAGCGGCAGTGGCAGGACTTCGTGCGGGACATGCCGTGGTTGGCGCTTCCCTACAAGGAGAAGCACAGGAAGGTGAGCCGCGCGGGCCTGTCGCGCCCCTGGCCTCGGGAGCCCCTCCTGGGGGCCGGGTCCTCGCCTCCCCAACTCTGCTGTCCCCCGCCCTCCTTCTCCATTTTGGCGCCCCCCCCGCGCCTGTACCCCCTTCGCGGGACCCCTCCGGATTGGGGCGCTGCGGCAACTCCTGGGTGCCGGTGCCAGGCTGCGCCCGCGCTGGGAACTTTGACGCCCCTTATTCCCCCTCAGCCGGATCCCGGTTTAAACTGTGGCTCCAAGAGCCCCGTGACCCCGTATGTTGGGAGCCTCTCGAAAGGGTGGCTGTCCTGTGGGGTCCCTACTCTGTGACCCCACCCACCCACAGCAGAGGTGCGGAAAGGGGCCCCTTCCTCGGTCACTTGACTCCAGTGGATACCTGTAATGGCTGGGGGAGGCCGTTTTGCCCCCTACCCATAATGCCCAAACCAGGAAGTTTCCATTCTTTCCTGGGGCCCCTTCCCCGGTGAGTAGGGACCTAGAGGCCGAGTCCCGAGGTCAGGCCACCCTGTCCCGAGGAGCCAGCTGCTGATCGTGGCTTTGGTCGAGAAAAGAAGCTCTCTTCCCCTTCTTCTTTCTCTAGCCCCCTGCGCAGCCCCCGGGCCTGAATTAGTGGCCTCTGGGGAGCTTTTCATTGTCTGGCTGTCCAGCAATCCTCCCAGGCCCAGGAACAGCCCGGCCCTTGTAGATCCTTTAGTTTCCTGGTGGGCCACTGTTGTCCTGGCATACTTCGAATTAAATGTAGAACTGATCCCTTAGATGTAGATTGACTGGAAAAAAGATTTGGGGAAATTCATACTTCGCTGTCAACTTCATTCCTCCCAATTTACTGCTGAAATTAGTTTGATTTTTTTAGTGTATCTGTTGGTTGAAAACGTTTGTTTCAACAAAACAAATTCAGGACATTTGGCAATGAATGGTAACAGAAAAAGTTTGGAGCTCTTTTGGTTAATTAGTTTGTGTCTCATGCAGTGTGTGAATCCAGTCCCTTTCTTTTTGGAGGAGAATCTCAATTTATGGATGGACAGGAGAAAGGCTGCTCTGAGGGTGTTTAGGTTCCTCTAGGGAGGATTGGTAACACATGCCATGTGTTTCTTTTATGTGTACAGAATCTTTTGAGAAGCATGATTTAGATTTAGTGAGAGCAAAAAACTTATACTGTGACCCCAAATGTCTCGAGTAAATCATCCCAAAGCAGTGTAAGGTACAGACTTGAGATTTAAAGTATGAAATACAGTTTAACAAATACAGTTTGTAAATTTAGCATTGAAAAAACATGGGTTCACTAACCACATAGAGGCAAGACAGCATTTTAACCACTTCATAGGTTATCTTGCCCCTACTGTATTTGATTTATATGCTTGATAAGCTATGAATATGCATGGTTAGTACTTTTTGCTTCAAAATATGAGAATCCTTTGTTTTCCTTGGTAGTTGTTGTTATGATCCTTTTGGGGAGAAATAATGTTCAGAAAGTGTTTTATCAAAAAATATTTTCATCATTATGGCCATTTTCTGTTGTAGACAAAAGTATGTTTAAAATCATGTCCTTATGGGGCAATACAAATGATTTCTAGCATTTGAAAATATACAGTGAGTTGTGAAACATTATTGTGTTTCTTACAGATGGAGAAATAAAATTGCTGGAACATTAAAATATGGAGCCATCAGGTTTTTTTGGAAATACTTAAGGGTTTTTCCTAAAAAGGAGCTTATTTGATACGACATAGGCCATGCCTGATTCTCTTTTCCCTGACCAGACCCTTTGCATGAAAAAAAGTGTTCTGTGACCCTGGCTTGATGCTCATTCCACCAAGAGGAGCACCTGGTTAACACAGGGCAGGCTGGCATTTCAAGACACAGCTCGGAATGCTGTAGGTGCTGAAACCGTGGTGTGTTAGCATCTTAAAATTTTATTTTAATTAAAACAATTTTTATGGGGCTGGGGATGGAATCCAGGGCCTTGTGCATGCTAAGCATGCATTTACCACAGAGCTACATCCTCAGCCCCTCAAATTTGTTTTTTGCTCAGACTCATATCTGATAGTTCTCTTCATTCTCTAAAACCAAACCACTTTTTAAGCAGGTGGCTTCTGGCTCTCTATGTTGGTGAATAGGCAGTCAAGATTTGATCCCAGAAATATTCTCATTCATGGTGTTATATACCAGGTAAAAAGGCTCCAGGGCCGGGGATTTAGCTCAGTGGTACGGCGCCTGCCTCGCAAGCACAAGATCCTGAGTTTGATCCCTGGTACCACAAAAAAGGCTCCAGCTGGTTTTCTTATGGAAAACACAGTGTTGAAAATTGCAAAAGCTATGTACTCACTTTGAAAGGAATTATTTTTCCCCCTTGAAAACAAAGAGATGTAAAACGAATTCCTCTTCTGTAACTGAGTTTTTGTCTGTCTTGTTTGAATTCAGGGTTCATAGAAGTCTGAGATTTTGGTGCTAATTTCATCATAAGAACAGGGCACCTTCAGTTGAGGGTGCTGGCTGGGTGGACACTTAACTTTTTGTTGTTGGACTCTCTCTGTGTTGTTTCACTAACAATAAGAATAGTTTTAAAGAAGGGAATTTTGTTTTACACTGAAGAGAAACCAGAGTTCCAGATTACATTTTCTTTTCTTTTTTTTAAGTTCTCATTAACATGTGTTCTTTAAAATTATTTGTGTACATCTTCCCATTGGGATAACAAAGGATATGTTTCTAATTAGTCATTGGCTGGCATTTCTCTAAAGAAAATTGAAAAATTATGGTGGGGAAAGAAAATGCTGTGTGGTATTTCTTTTTTCTTCTTTTATTAATTTCTCCTTTATATAGTAAGAAAGTCTGGGGATGACCATATATGTTCTGCCTGCATTTTGCCTCGCTCCTCTCACCTCCATTGGAGATGTATAAAGGCTGTGTGAAGGGATTCTGGGATCTTTATTTTTTAAATTTTATATGGAAGGTTGTCTTGTTTCTGCTTGTTTCAGTGGTAGACAAAAGACATTGAAACTTTTTTTTATTCCAGAACACACACATTATTATAGAGCTGTATATACATTGTAATTAGATGATAATAGAACTTTGCATGTGTTTTTAAGAGCAGTTTTGTCAGGAAACCTATAATCCTGAAGTTCAAGCGGTTAGGCTTGTTTTAATAAGTAGGTTGGTGGACCTTTTTCAGATTTCTGAAGAGACAATGTGATGAATAGTTGGTAAGTGGTGAAGATTGGACCTTTTGGGATTTGGTCTGTCCTTTTAGATGAATATAAGTTACTGAGTTGTCCAGAGGCACCATATCCAAGAGCCACTGTTGGATCACAGAAGCGAGCACTAGTTTTGGTTTTAAAGCCAGGGGACAGGCTATGCCTGGGCTCGATGCCTGATGGAAAACATTTGGTCACTGTGGGTACACTGACATCAAAGGGTGCAGACCACTGACCTCCCTCTGGACAGGTTTATTGGGCTCTGACTTGGTCCCAGAACCTTCTTCTTGACAGGAAGAGGAAGAGGAAGTTGGGGTGGAAAGAGTAGCAAAGTCAGGGGGCTGTGGTCCAGTATTCTGGTCTACTTGATTGACTAAAGAAAGTGAATCCATCCTGCAAGGGACTCTGTGTGGGCTTCTTGGCCTAACTGTTCTGGATGGTTCTTTTGGTTCAGACTAAATCAGAAGCGTGGCCTAGAATTCATCTGAGTCCCTTTGGCTCTTTGGATGGAACAAGATTTGGTGTTAACCCACCCTCAGAGCTCTATTTCTCCTATTCTTTCTCAAATCGGAATACCCAAGCCAGTAAAGGATCAATTTTATCATCTCTTCTTATTCACTTTTAAGGTGGTAAAACATGGAAAAAAGGCAAAATTTTGAAAATTAGAGGTCTCTGCCTTCCTTTCATAAGGCATCAGCCAGTCACTCTTTCCAGGATTGGGACCAGTCCCAAGACAACAGTCCATCCCTGTGTGGTGGCACACACCTGTAATCCCAGCACTCTGAGAGCTGGGGCAGGAAGATTGTGAGTTCAGTCCAGCCTAGGAAATTTGGCAACACAGCGAGACCCAGTTTCAAAATAAAAATATAAAAAATGGGCTGGGGATGTTGCCCTCAGTTCAAAGGCCCTGCTGGGGTTCAGTCCCCAGTACTGCAAACCAAAACAAACAACCAGTCCAATTAATATATAAAAGCAGTGTTCCTTGAGAGACATCTTCTTTGTTTCATTACTTGTAATGTGTGTGTGTGGGGGGGGTTGTGGTTCTCAGCATTGAAGCCAGGGCCTTTGCACTGAGCTACATTTCCAGTCCTTTTTATTTTTTGTTTTGAAATGGGGTCTCACTAAGTTGCCCAGGCTGGGTTTGAACTTGTGATCCTCCTGCCTCAGCCTTCCAGGTAGCTGGGATTACAGATGTGTACCATCACACTCAGGTTTGTAATGTGTTTTTAAATCTAAACTACATAGAAAACTATGTAGTGAAGCATTTTAGTGGCTACAAATGTAGGTTCTTTAGTCCTGCCTGAGTGCAGATAATGCTCGGCTGTTTATTAGCTGTGGGTCCTTCAGCAAGATACTCATCTCTGTGTCACAAGTTCCTTATGTGTAAAGTGGGGACGATAACAGCACCTGCCTTATAGGATTGTCATAAAGATATAGCGAGATAATATACATGTGCCTGGCAGATAGTGAGTGCTCAATAAATGCTGTTACTTTTGTTAATAAATGATCATACAATTTACCAATCCTTTTCACAGCTTGAGCCTTTGGACTGTATCATATCACAGAATTGCAAAACTGTTATGAGATGTGGGTTTTTTTCACTTTTCAAACCAAGGCTTTTTACAAGGGGATATGATGAAGGAGTTGAAAGAATTGCCCAGCAAGAGATTATAATTGAGGAGAAAGACTTTGAAGAACGAAACAATGAAAGCAAAAAAATATAAAATAATACTGTTTCTTAAAATTCTGGGAGATTAGTGACAGTTACTGAGCTCCCTGTTTACATTTGCC